CTATGTTCAGCAAATCTGTTTGCGACACATGCTTGTGATGCCGACCTCAAAAAAAAAAACGAGTTATCGCGCAATATGCGACGCTGGTGGAGTGTTAAAAAATTTGCGAAATAAATGTTTGATTCACTGCCTTTTATCCTTCTAATCTATCATTATCCCCTGAGGACAGGAAATAGGAAGATCAGAATCTTAGCGCTTAGTCTAACCCATTAAATATCAAGCCAAAGGTATTAACCTACGGTAATCATTGAGGAATTGAATCCCGACAATCAGAGCAGCAATGGCTGGATCTTTAGCTTAGGAAAATTCGAAGTAGATGCTCCTGTTTTCTGGATTTAGCAGTGCTTTCGCCGTAACCCTACATGGAATCCCAAGAATGCTCAAGATGTAGTCCATCGGGCAGCCGTACGCCTGGAGTTATAGAATCCGCAGCATCTACTCCTTTAAATTGAAGAAATCAAAATTGTTTGATTTGTAATGACACATAGAAACTTCAACAACACTCAGAGTGACCCTGTATGAGGCTATTTTTCCGAAAAAAATTATGCAACTTATGAGTAACTGGGGTTTTAATCAACCGCTAGATTTTAGCCCATTGATCATGCAAACGGGGAGAATTCACAAATGTCGCAACCGGATTGCCAAAACATTCATTGCTTGTGATGAATTTCACTGTCTTATTTCTTCACTCACTTCTTTTTTTTAAGAATCTTGTAAATAATTGAAATTCTTTGTACATTAAATGTTATCATAAGCATAACATGCAGAATGATTAAAGAAGCTGTGAATTCCTGTCGAACATAGGCCTTTTTCGAAAAGAAAATCTCTTCAATTTAATTCTAATTGGGCCCAAAGATTGCCCTGTGTATTTGCTTCAGAGTACTAATTCAATCGTCAATTTTATTAACTGTTAGGACGAATGGGGAGTTCTCCCAAGTCTATTCAGCTCTGGCTGGCACTTCTGAGAAGGATGTGGAAAATACGGGAAACCTTGACTACTTCCAAAGGTGTTACCACAACCAAGTCAAAAAATAAAGTTTTTAAGTTGGGTTTTTGGCTGATCTCAATGGGGTCGTCAAAAAAAGTTGGGTAATAAAATCAATAAATCTTGAATTTAAACTGTCCTCTCCCATCAATGATTGGATAGTAAAGGGGTCAACGATTATTAATAAGAAAACTTTCTCGGTCCTCATTGGTGCATCGAAATTGTCCATAAAACTGAAGTCCTCCAGATTATGAGCAAGCCAAATAGTGACCAATTATAATAGCAGAAACGTGATACTTTTACGGTTTGTTTTGCCTTAGTGGGCAATTAAGGCTCCACTTTTGCACTTCCACTCACCGGTATACCCTCTGGGCGAAACCAGTACTCCCCCAGCTCTCTAATACATCTGCAATACATATTCTGTCCTAATATTACATCTCCTTTCGTCTTCAGTGAAGTCTTGAGACTCTGCAATAGTGACAGCGGAAAGAGAGCCCAATCCTTGATTTCCATGCCTGAATGCTAAATCTCAGTGCGATGCAAGGAGGGCGGAGGCTGCGGATGGGAGAATCAGTGACGATCCCTTACAGAGGGTTTGAAAGCGGCGACTATCTACTACAGCTGCCCTTATCCCAACACTGGTAGTAGACCATCTGGAAAAGTTCGTTACAGAGCTGTCTACGGTACCCGTATGACGATTTCAGTAATGTGAACACGTGATACCTCCTCCACCTCTCTCCTAATTGGATAAAACCACGATAAATACATATATATGACTGGACAGCACTGAAGCGAGGACAGTATCGAGGAGGAGCAGACGCGATACCTTATCCTCACAAAATCGACTCTGCTTTTGGGCCAGTGTTCTCACGGCTAGTGGTGGAAATGCGTGATGGTCAGCACATTCCCATTCCCACAATACGGTTCTTAAACAGGACGAAACTGAAGGTTTAGGGAACTGGAAGGAGGGATCAGTGACGTTGCTGTCAGACGAACTTTTAAATGCATGCGATGTGGATGACTGACGTGGTTGCCTAGTCGGTATCCTTCCCACAGCACCGACTGTCCTGTGATGTCAGAACTTGAAAAGAATGCGAAGGCATTTTTGCCCGTGAAAATGTTTTCCGTCGGACATAAATATCACCCAACTACCTATTAAGATGGCCTCGGTGACTGACGGCTTGCTCCTACCTCCCGAATTAGTTGAATTTATTCACCTTGCCCATTTCCTGCCTTAAATGTAGGAAATAGGCAGGTCGGATCAGGAGGTATTTCCTATGTGCCTTAGGTACTGTTTTAGAATGTTCTCTGCTTTTATTGCATGTTTGATTCGGCCACTCCTTTCGGCCATTCGGAATTTGGCAATTACGGCACCGACATGAGGCCCTACTCACGTCATCTCCATCCTGTCAGGCTTTCAAGCTGTATAAAGCCCTCAATGGCAACTTGAGTGCCACATTGATTTACAGAATGGATGCTGCAAAAAAGGCCACAAAATGAAGGCTTCTGGTGTATAGTTCAGTATGCATAGATTAGATTTTTTACAACAGAATAAATATCGAAGCTGGATCTACTTTCTATAGCCATCCCAAAACACGATAGCTAAGTAGGGTTTGTCAATGGAACTAGATCAGGTTTGATCGAGTCAAAACGGTTCTGATGTATCGCTATGAGCCCAAAGATTTAGAATTATGAGTTGAAGACATCACACTCGATGCTGCTTACAAAGAGGTATCAAAATGTGATACTTGCTCTAAAGCATCTAAAATTTTCCGCTGCTAGTTGAATAAACTTCTCTCTCAGGTGCAGATCATCAAGACCTCTATTACAGATAATGGGGTAATAACCCCCATAAGCATTCCCTACTTCACCTTTGCTCCTGTCAAGCTGTTGATTATAATTTACTGAAAAATATGTGAGGGCAGAAGCAAGAGAACGAATACTAGAACTGCCAACGTGGAAGCTCGAAGTGGCAAGAGGGTGATGTAGCGGCAGGTTTTTTCAGTCACCCAAAATTCGACTGGCACGCCAGTGCTTGCGATGGTAATGTTTATTTTTCTCATTCCTTCTATATCTCCAGCTCTGCAAACCCCGCAAGTGCTACAACGTGTTTTTTTCGTTGTCAAGACGAAGGCGAAAACTTGGCGACAAAGTTACCGGTTAAAAATTCCCTACTTGTGCACTTGTGATAAAAGTACATTTCTTTAACCACTTCCCCCCTCCCCACCCGAGGGTGTACCTCCAATAAATAACCGCAGCCTCTGCGTACTCACTAAAGTAGTTGGCAAATGTGGGTGGCCACCCCGCCGCCCCTTCCTTCCACCGGTTCGACGTCGAAATGGACTTTGTTCAAGTGCACTCGCCATTTTTCGTTGTGCTGTTTGAGCAGACACACACAGGCGCGTAAGCACAATCACACACACACACACAGATGAACCGCCACACCCCCTGCTCACCCCCGTCGACTCAAACGAGGCGCGTCGATGTACTCACTCACTCACCCAGTCATTCACTCTCTCTTTATCTCGAGAGAGAGTGCAGTCAACAGACAGACGGTTATCGATTCATCCACACCAGCCGTCAGGTCGCTGCGCCAACAAATGAACTGTCAAGGCTTCAAGTTGTTTTTTTTGTCAGTGTGGCGAAAAAAAAGAAATAATATATTTGACTTAGGGGCTTTTTTTTCCACCGGTGAAATTAAGATCAAGGGCGGGACGGTGGCTGGGGAGAGGAGGGCATCGATAGTCTAGACATTAACAGGTGTTCCACTCTGTAGGGTCGCCTTCCCTACAGTGCCACCCAAACTGAAATCTACTGCTAATGAAGTAAACGTTTTTGTTTTTTTTCTTATCTAATTTAAATTGGATTTGTTGGAATGAAAAAGACGGGTAATATGCGTTGAGTGATGATAATAAACTTGGGCTACCTGAATGTTCCTTTAGTGGAGATGAAGTACCAATTACCAAAGCCTCCTAAGCATCGGCAATAAACCACTGTCTGGGAGGAATGTAAACCACTACAGCCCAGATGTTTCCTACTCATATATGATGCCAACTGTCTTTAACTTTTTGTGGCATGTATTTATAACATCCTGAACCAAAAAATCTGTAACTATCCCTAGACTGTTTTATTCTTTTAAATAGTAGCTCTACCTGCGACACAAGATGTGATGCAATCAGTTATTATTAGACTGGTAATGAACCTATTTCGTGCATTTTTAGTGCAGTGATCGGATAAAAACCAGAACGTCACATATATGTGACACTTTTTGCGAACGTGTTAAGCGATACAGGCAATGGTTTAATATAAAAGCAGCTTTTAAGCTAAAATAATAAAAGCAAATAAGGGCTTCACTGGCAAAAAAATGGAATAGTTAGTATGGAAGGGTGTAGATACAGCTTGCTTTTAATATGCTCCATTTCAACTCAACTTCATTGCTAGGAACAATGAACCTAACAGTGAAGCTGATTAATAGCTAAGCATGATTTTACTTCACACTAAGAATAGTTTAGTCTCCTATTTAATTTATCTAAAGAAACTTCCAAAAATAACTCACCTATTTATTTCGCTGCTTGGTAGTATTAATACTGCCATGGAATACCTCAAGGCATTTTTGAGCTCTGTCTCCATGCCTTTCGATATCCTGTCTTCACTTTCATATTATTTTCTTTAGCATAGGTGTTACCCACCTGACTCGCGTTGCAGATGAAAGAGGCAACGAGGAGTGGTGAAACATCATGTGACCTGTCATCCGTAGCCCCAAAGGCCGCTCTCAGTAATGCGATGCTACAGACAAAGTACTTGTATTTTAGGCTCATTTAGTCACGCTCCCTATTAACCCGGTTGAAGTGTGGAGATGTGTACCCTCATTATGCACAAACGCTTGATGACTTTATCACTTGCCGCATCCGTGAGCAAGGCGGTAGGATGCGGGTTCGACTGCACATGCTGCTGCTTCTGCGAGTGATGATTAGTAATGAATCAGTACTGCCGCCACCACCACCGCTATAACAAAAGATGCTGGCAGATTCAAAATGTTGATCTCGCTCAAGGTGTGAGAGAGAGAGGGGATAGACTGTTAAACGTTAATTGTAGTATTTACCAAACCTTGAAAATAACAGCCCACACTTTGCGGTTATGTAAGGTGGAAATGGGGGGCGGGGTGGTTAATCCAGATGCTGTTCCGGGATTGCGTGTGCGATCCGTGGTGGTACCTTCTAAAGCGCTCTTTGTTTCATTACTACTGATCATTTTTTTTCTTCAATGGGGCTGTCTTTGAGCCGATCATAATTGCTGACAGCCGCACTCAGTATTTTGGCATCGCTTCAGTTGAGTCTAGCAGCTCTTTTAAGACCTCTCTCCAAATGCTTGAGGGAAGAAATGATTAAATGTTTCACCTTACCTTGCAATCGTATATCTTTGGTGGTAATATCAGAGTAGTGGCAAAAAGAAAATATTATTTTGTCGGTGCCTGTCGGGTTTCAGAGGAATGCCGACAATCACAGACGAGAATTATTACAGCTCTGATAGGACATACGCTACTGTTCTCTGTTTGACTACCTTCTTTGGCTCAGAAACTACGAATTGCCACCGTCCTAGATTCAGAACAACATACACCCATGTAGCCTCAACTTGAACCACTCTGTTTTCGACATACGAGACTGTGCAAACAGTTAGCATAGACGGATCAAAAACAGTGGTGACGCTTGGCTCAAGCAGGCAAATCATGCCGTCGCGTGGGTACATCGCGATAGCAGTCAGCATGTTAAGCACCGTGACTTGCTCAATGCTGGAAGTCATCATTAGCTCTCTCGCCCACCCCCGTCCACCCCCCAACCCAGATTGGGATCCTATTGGTTCTTTAGGGAGATATGCTATTTCGCTGTTAAGACACTTGTCTCTTGAAGTATGGATGACTTTTTTGTTTTCTTTTGCTGCAAATTTTAGCTCAACAGTCAGAAAGTTTTATCGTGAAGGTTAAAATACACGAACAAACCGGTGCAGCGACTGTCTGTAGTTACTTTCCCATAGC